TTACGCTTAAAACCACATGTAAATAATACATACGCGCCTTTGTACTTGATTCCTGAGAACTTTCGTCCAATGTCTTCCATACGGTATGCTAATCGTTCATGGCCAGGCCACTATACACTTAACTTGAACGTTTCAACAGCGCCCTCTGTTGATGTTCATGATAAATATCAATTAATTCTTCCATACTGTATGTCACATCCATCATTGAAGTTGAGCTATATTAATTTTCATTTATATGTCCATAAACGTAGCTATTACGCTTCCGTTTCATTCTCGACAGTAATCATAACGCCATTGTAAACGTTCTTCCTAAAAAGACAGAAGGAGAAACAATAATACAAGAAAGTGACAAACCTGCCAAAGTAACTTAAGCCAGGTCTCCAAAACACAGTCAAGCGTAAAAGTAATTGGCCGTTTGTGAAAGTTTGTGCTGCTTAATGCATTCAGTTTTATATCGGTGTCAGCTCTCGAGGGAGACTGGAGTGAGTGTGTATTTTTAGCTCTAATTAAACACATATCAATGCGACTCTCCCTCCGCCCATAGAGGGAAGTAATGAGAGAAGCGGGCCTTAGAGAGATAGAACTGCTGTTTTAGGGATTCTGGGATCTCTGTGGACCAACAGGAGAACTGCCATACTGTGGCTGTCTGCTCTCCGATCAATGGTATTGATCAGGTTTATGCTAATAGGTAAGGAATGAATAATGGGCGAGACTTCCTGGATCTGCTATGCCAGCAACTAAAGAGAATAGAGCTGAATAACTTGTCTACACAACTTTACATAACTGCAAAACTTTGAGAATATCAGTGGGAAAGAGGGATAGTTAAAGGGATAGTTCTCCCAGAATTGAGAAATCTGTCACTAGCCTACTCATTCACTTGTTTTATTTATTTCAGCTGAACACAAAGGAAGATATACTGGCACAAAGCTGGCTCTAGGCATTGGCAGGGTCTGTGTTGCCCACCCAAAAAGAGTAGGCCTATACACATTCATTTATTTCATTTTTGGCGTAGTGCCTTTATTAATCAAGGGGTCGCCATAGCGGAATCAACCGCCAACTTATTCAGCATTTTACACACCGGATTCCCTTCCAGCTGCAACTCATCACTGGGAAACACCCATACTCTTATTCACACACAGACTACGGATAATTTAGCTTATCTTATTCACCTATACTGCATGTTTTTGGACTGTGGGGGAAATCAGAGCACCCGGAGGAAACCCTTTGTTGAGAGCATGCAAACACAGAAATGCCAATTGATCCAGCTAAGGCTCGAACCTGCGATCTTCTTGCTGTAAGGCGACAGCACTATCTACTGCGCCACCATTTTTTTTTTTCGATTTCAACAGGTGCGTGAAGGTTTTACAATGTTCTGCTAATGTTGCTGTCGTTCGCATATTAAAAATAAATTAAAAAGAAATATTTTAAAATGAAATAGTCCTATTCAATGTGTTAGACACAAAATTAACACGTCAATTTGTTTTTTATTAAATACCAGGACAATTTCAATTAAGTTGAATTAAATTCTGAACGAAATAGTTTAATTATGTAATTATGTAGACTTACATGCTTGCACTCTGTCTTTGACTGCACATAAATAGAATGAGACATTTGTCCTTCATTATCAGATTCCCTTATGCATGTTCAACATAATATAAAGCAGATGAAGTCAGAATTATTAGCCCCCCTGTTTATTTTTTTCCCCAAATTCTGTTTAATGTAGAGAAAAAAATGTCAACACATTTCTTAGGATAATAGTTTTAATAACTAATTTCTAATAACTAATTCATTTTATCTTTGCCATAATGACAGTACATAATATTTAACTAGATATTTTTCAAGACACTTCTATGCAGCTTAAAGTGACATTTAAAGGCTTAACTAGGTTAATTAGGTTAACTAGGCAGGTTAGGGTAATTCGTCAAGTTATTCCTAATGATGGTTTGTTCCGTAGACTATTGAAAAAAAAATAGCTTAAAGGGGCTAATAATTTTGACCTTAGAACGTTTTTTTTTATTAATAACTGCTTTTATTCTAGCTGAAACAAAACAAATAATACTTTCTCATGAAGAAAAAATATTATCAGACATACTGTGAACATTTCCTTGCTCCTAAACATCATTTGAGAAATATTTAAATAAGAAAGAAAACATTCAAAGTGCGGCTAATAATTCTGATTTGAACTGTATACTGCCACTGACATTCAGTAATAGTTTATTCACACACAGAGCACTCACACTGTAAATACAGCCACACTCAATTTCTCTGTTGAACATATTACTTGCATGTTTAATGTTTACACAATCTTCATTCTAACTTTTTAAAGACTATAATAATGGCTGAATGTGTGCTTATTATTCCAGTCATTATTTATTCTGAATGTTGACTGGATTTAAAAATAACTCTTTGTTAAAAAACATGTTTGTGCTTATGTTGACTTAAAATAATGTCTTCTTAACCAAGCCCAGACAAGAATATTATTACAACAATACTTTTGCTATTCCATCATTCAATTATTGGAATTTTACAGTATCTATATCCTAAACCTAACCCCAACCGGGCCTGTACTGAGAAATGTTGGAGCAATAAATACAGCCATTGACCACTGATAGACTTTTTTCACCTTATATCATTGTCAGTTGTTGCTTTATTTCAAAAACTTTTTTTTAGAATGTCTTATTTTGTGTAAGACTTTCAGAAAAGTTTAAAACAACTAGAGTGTGAGAAAATTGTGGAGACTTTTTCTATTAAAACTTAAAAATAAACTTTACCTTTGGACGTACAGTAAGTAAACTTGCTTAATATTTACATTGCCAGAGACATACTGTCTGGAAAAAATATAAAACATTTTAGTTTAGTGTATCAATGCTCAATTCAACCATTAATGTGCATTGTTAATATGGACAACAAGTAGTATATCAGTATTTAGATTTATTTTATTTATTTATTATTATTATTTATTTTATTTTATTTTTTTGAACCACCAGGGCCCATTTTTTTCTAAAACATTTGATTTGGAGCAAATTGGTCCAGATTTAGAAATCCCATGTTTTGCTATCATGATTAACTGATCTATCTTAGATTAACAGTGTAGCCTACTGGCTTAGCAAAGAACAACAGGTAGGCAAAAAACCAGTGGCCACAAACAGCCATTGTTTTCTTTTAATGGTAAGAACCAGATACACTGCAAACAAACATTTGACTTTTTTTTTTTTTTTTTTTGTCTAATACAATACTGCGTTCATATTGTTTTGTTGTTGTTTACCACATCTCATTAGATATTAGTAAAATGCTTCAAATAGGCTCCAATTATGAAGGAATTTAGATAGCATCAGTAACCATTAGAATTGTAATCATTTACTTAAAAAATACAACTTCCTTTTCTTTGGATTGTTTAATTCAACAAATCACAACTAGATAACAATTATAATCTTCTATTTTTGGGGATCAAATAGATCCCAATCTGAAGTTTTAAATAAAACAAAGGGCGGATTTGATCTAAAGCAAATGTAAGACTGGATTACATGGTCAGATCTTTTTTTCAATATCTCTCTGTCACTTTTGAGAAACTCATTACCAAGATTTGATCCAATCTGTGATCAAAATCCCACTGAATTACTTTGGAAAAACTGGGCTCAGACTTCACGTTTTCAAATAGTTGTATTTTAGACAAATTGTATATATTGTATTTTGTCCTATTCTAAGAAAGTATATATATATATATATATATATATAATCATATTTAATTAGTACATGTATACACCTCAATTTCCAAAAAACAGACACTTGCAACTGGTTTTGTTTTTTTCACTAATTGAATTTAAAAGTGAGTTTAAAATAATAATGTTTTGAGATTTTGCAAATGCGACAATAGAAATCTTCCAGAGTTTTTCATAATAAATGATTATTAAAAATCCTACATTTTTATTGTTTTTATGCTTAAATATAATAGTATTTGTATTGTATCAGCAATCTATATACTGAATTTACTGGAACAAAAGCAAACCATAAAACTATAACTATAGTAAAACTGATACATATTAATAAAAAGAAACATTGGTAACACTTTACAATAAGGTTGTATTAGATAATATTAGTATTTACTAACACGAAAAAACAATAAACAGTATATTTGTTACAGTATGTATTCATCTTTGTTAAGGTAAGGTAATGAAAATATATTTGTATATCGTTCTTGTTAACTCACAGTGCATCATCTAATGTTAACATGGACTACTGAAAACTTATATATTATGTATTATATATTATGTAAAGTGTGACCAAAATATTTCTTTAAAGAATTGACTAAATGATCTAATAAGAAAGTCCAAAAAAATGTAATTAAAAAATAATAAATTTCATAACCTGCAATAAATTAAACAGATTTATCAAGACATTATTAGCAGTTAATATTAGATACTGTAGGTCAGGAACACTGAGACATTCTGTCTTCAATAAAATAGTTATATTATTATAACATAATAATATAACATAATATTATTAACATATTTTAAAATAATACATAATACACATAATAAATGAAACATAATAATAATGTTAAATTATTATATGGCTGACCCACTGAAGCTAAGCAGAGCTGTACCCCGTTACTTGGATGGGAGACCACGTAGGAAAACTAGGTTTCTGCTGGAAGTGTTGTTAGTGAGACCTGCAGAGGGCGCTCAACCTGCAGTCTGTGTGCGTCCTAACGCTCCAGTTTATTGATGGGGACTATACAGCTCAAAACTGCTTTCGGATGCGAGATTCCTAACAAAAATGTGTAAAGCGCTTCGAGTGTCCAGAAAAGCGCTATATAAATGTAAGGAACTATTATTATTATTATTATTTTTATTATTTTGTTTTATTATTAGTCATATCAATTGAACATGAATGATAAAACTACTGAAAGTGACAGACTTAGACTCTACTATCTACTGCAGCACAGTTCAAACAAAACTCTTTTGACATCAGTGGTTAATACAATAGAAAGGCAAACAGACTGACAACAGAAAGGGAAGTTTATTTTGGCTGTGAATTGCGTCATTCCATTTAATAAACCTTCGATACATTCATATACAAGACATACCACTGAAGTTTCAAAGGAGAAATATATAAGCTGGCTTGAAATGCTAATAATATTTAAGGTTTAAGCCTCTAGTTTAATCAAAATGAGCATGATCATCCCAAAAATCAGAGGATAAACTGTTGAAACAATGAGAAATTGTGACTATAGACTTGATCGTAACGATGATTGATGTAGCATTAGCGTGCCATTTCATAATACAGAACAAAAACACTACTTATAAAGATACTTAAACAGACAAAAAAGACAATAAATATTACAGAATGTGTAATAAAGACTGCAGATAGTACTTCATCACAGATTGTGCATTTTGGTATAGATTACAAAACCACCAGATCTAAATAACCTCTATTCGTTTAGTTTGTGCTGTTAAAATCTGCCGTTATATGATCTGAAATGAAACTCTCTGCTCAACAAACATAAATAATACTGATTTATAGCTATAATCTATCATATGTTTATAATTATTTAATTTCCTATATAGTTCTTATAACACAAGGTAGGAGTTCAGTTGATAACCTCTTCCATTTTTTTCATTATCTGATGCGATAATCAAAGCTGTAAGTGTTAAAGAATCAGCAAATGAAGGGTTTATCAAAAGCACTCCCGTTCAAAACATCAAGCAGAAACCCACACAGAGTTTGAACAGAAAGAGACGTGTGATTGGGTGTAAATGAGTGCTTTCATAATCAGAATAAACTGCTGACACGTACATTCATCACGACACAGTGCTCTCTGATTGGTTGGTGAGATTGGTGATCCTAGCTACAAATAAACCATAGTAAAAAAATAAAACAAACCTCACAATATCAATGTTAAACACAATGAAGAACAGATTGGTTAAACATCCTACAAGATATCTTCATTTCTTATATGTGGTAATGATACACAATGTGTATAAAACTTGCAATAGGACCACCTTTACATTAGCAGCACTTCATCAGACTTGCATATCTTTAGCGTAAAACATAAATATTTACAAGGATAGGGGTTGCCACAGCGGAATCAACCTCCAACTTATCCAGCATATGTTTTACGCAGCGGATGCCCTTCCAGCTGCAACCCAACACTGGGAAACACCTATATACATTCACACACATACACTACAGAGAATTTAGTTTCCTCGATTCACCTATAGCGCATGTCTTTGGAGGAAACCCTGGAGAAAACTTACACGGACACGGGGAGAACATGCCAACTGACCCAGCTGGGGCTCGAACTAGACACCTTCTTGCTGTGAGGCGATCATGCTACCCACTGTGCCACCGTGACGCCCTTTGGTTAATATATTTAACATATTTTACGTTTTTTTACCGTTTCTATTCTCTTCTGGAAGTCTGTTGACTGTCTAGTTTTCTGAAGCCCCTCCCTCACAAAAACACAATGGGCTCTGATTGGTCAGCTGGCCTAGTGTGTGCTGATTCACTAGCTGCTCAAGTGGACATTTGAAGAAAATGCCACACCTGGGGTAGGCTTTATGTAAATTTTAGGGTTAGTAATGTTATAATGGGTTTACATCATTAACTCTAAAATTTACATAAAGGAAGAATCTTGCCGTTGTCCTTACCTGCCATTTCTTCTATAGTCTGCATAAGAAAATACACCGTAAAATAAGATCACTTAGAAGGAAAGTAAACATGCCCCAGCAGGCACACAACATCATTAGACGTTAATATTAGGTTACATTTAGGTGATGACGTCAGGTGATCATAATTCAATATCTAGGCAGCATCTGAGAACGTTATTTTTACGTCCAATAACGACGTCAAATAACATTGATATTTGGTTAATTTTAGGTTGTGTTGGAAAGTGACCAAAATCCAACGTCTGATAGATGTCATAGTGGTAACGTCCACACAACTTCAATGTGTAACATGATTAGACGTTAATATCTGGTTGATTTTAGGTTGGACATTGACATCGACCTGACGCTGGGTTCTGACGTCAACCTGATTTTCATTTCCAAACAAAATCCAATATCCCCACAACACTAGGGTACAACGCCAATATGACGTCATGTTGATGTCCTGTGCCTGCAGGGACTGCTTTAAAGCGACGAGTTGACTTTATTTAAAAAACTGAGTAAACTCATCAGCTTAAAATTATTAAGTAAATAAACAACATGCATAATTATTAGGGATGTAACGGTATCAGAATTTCACGGTACGGTAATACCTCGGTATGAATGTCACGGTAAAAAAAAAACTTTTGAAAATACTCCAAAAAAGTGCCAAAAGTGTCAATGACATACAAATTAGCCATCTATCTGTTAGCTTTGAAACAGGAACTTCAATTTTAATAACAAAAAATTATTAAACCATGTAAAAAAATAAAGTTTCAATTTAGTATTGTTGAAAACTCATCACATTTAACATTTAATCACTCACTTAGATAGAGATGGGTTTAAAGGAAAATTATCATATAAATATAATCTGGTAAAAGCTGGTATCTCTGGGTATTTACAATGTCCCCTGCAACAGAAAAAAACCCTCTCATTTGGGAATGAGGTTTCTGGGACAAGAGAGATATGACTTGGCCCATGTTGACAGCAGTGGGTAACGTTGTGCATTGTCTTTCCCCCACTTGAGAGGACAAACCATGAGTAAGATAGAGGGTCTCTTTGCGGTACAAGTCAATGTCTGCATCAATCTGAACAGTGTGCTGTGTTTCTGCAGTCCCCATGACTGTTATTAGTCGTATTCCCCAACTTGCAGGCACGTGCACACATAGGGCTCAACCTGTGCAGTGCACATGCCCTTTTTAGTTTTGGATAGAAAATGCCCTTCCAAAACGATCAAAAGTGCCCCCGCGACGCGACACAACCTCCGTCCAGTCCAGCCCTTCAGTAGGCGCGCGAAAACACCTCTCTTGAGTATGCGCGCTCAACCCCCCCTCGGCGCTTTACAATACGCGCGCCACAACACAGCTGATCAGAACGCGCGCGACAGCACCGCTATTCAGCACGCGCGCGGCGACAACACCCGCTTTAGGTTCGATCATTTCCATCTTTTTTTCATCTCCGCTACTAGCAGCACACTCCATTTCCGCATTACTGGATCTGTAGCGACAACAGACCGCAAAGGATTATGGCCACGCCTGGGCTGATGGGAAATGTAGTTTCAGCTACCTCCCGTTCGCTTCATTCGCCTGAGCAAATTTTCTCTGAAGACCTATAGTTTTATCGAAAAAATTTAATATTGCGGTATGACGGTATTTACAATACCGTTACATCCCTAATAATTATAAAAATTAAGTTAAGTCAACTCAACAGTTCCAAGTTACAATGGGATTACTCACTTTTAGGGCAGCGGGTTTACTTTCTTTTTAAAAAATGAATCACTTTATCTAGTGTATCTCCCTTTGAGCATCATTAAATTGCAGTCTGTTGTTTATGCTCAAACTGCAATAATACACACCATTCATTCATTTTTCTTCGGATTAGTCACTTTATTCATCAGGGGTCACCACAGCGGAATGAACCACCAACTTATCCAGCATGTTTTACACAGCAGATGCCCTTCCAGCTGCAACCCAGTACTGGGAAACATCCATACACACTCATTCACACACATACACTACGGACAATTTAGTTGATTCAACTCACCTATAGCGCATGTGTTTGGACTGTGGAAGAAACCGGAGCACCCGGAGGAAACCCACACCAACACAGGGAGAACATGCAAACTCCACATAGAAATGCCAACTGATCCAGCCGGGACGCAAACCAGTGATCTTCTTGCTCTGAAGCGCCAGTGCTAACCACTGAGCCACCGTGTCACCCTAATACACCCCAGTTTTAGATTAAAAAATCAAATCATAATCAAGGACCACTTGAATGTGCAAATGTCTAATGTTAATAAGTCTGGACGCAGTGCCTCTAGCGTAAAACGATCCCTAAAAAAACTCTATGCTGTTTAAGTTGATGAGCACACACACACGACAACAATAAATATTTTACACCCATAAACTGTTGTGATGTATTTGAGTTAGAAGTTGAGCGTCTCTGACATCATCTTCCACCAGTCCATGAGCTCCTCCTTCTCCTCCTCCTTCCTCTCCTCCAGAGACTCCAGCTCAAAGTCCAGCTGAGAGAAAAGCAGAGCCATGAGAGAAAGATCTAAATGAGAAGAGGAAGAGAAAGCTGAAATGAGGGTCTGTATTTACCCGTGTGGAGGGGCTGTGGGGAACGGCCACTTTCTTGACCACAGTCAGGTATCCTGGAGCAGATGCAGACACTTTGTAGTTTCCAGGAGCCAACAAGCGCCAGTAGTCACCGTCTTTAGCTGAAGAAGAAGAAAAAAGGAAAAATTTCAATTCCAAAAGTGGCCACATGAGGGCAGACTTACACATAAAATTTTCAACAGAAAAGCCTGCTTTAAATGTTTTTTACAATGTTAAAAAAAGCTTTTCATATATACTTATTTAGTAATGTATTCAATTATTTTTTAAGATTTATGATATAAAATTATATACTCTAACATCTCAAAGTCAAATACTATATATATATATATATATATATATATATATATATATATATATATATATATATATATATGATTATAAAGAACTGAAAAGGTATGTTTCAAGTATTTATTTAGAATATTTATGTACATTAATTAATTATAGAAAATTAATTAAAAAATATTAATATATAAAAAAATTTTACTGTACATTTTATAAACACTCATTGGCCACTTTATTAGGTACACCTGTCCAACTGCTCGTTACGCAAATTTCTAATCAGCCCGTCATCACATGGCAGCAACTTAATGTGTTTAGGCATGTAGACATGGTCGAGACAATCTGCTGCAGTTTAAACCGAGCATCAGGATGGGGAAGAAAGGTGATTTAAGTGACTTTCATCATGGCATGGTTGTTGGTGCCAGACAGGCTGGTCTGAGTATTTCAGAAACTCCTAAATCCACTGAAAGTTTATGCACAACCACCTCTATGGTTTACAGAGATAAACCCAAAAAAATTAAATATCCAGCAAGGGGCAGTTCTGTGGATGCACTTGTTGATGCCAGAGGTTAGAGGCGAATTGCCAGACTGGTTTAAGCTAACCAGATGCCACTCCAGTCAGCTAAGAACAGGAAACTGAGGCTACAATCGCACAGGCTCACCAAAACTGGACAATAGAAGTTTGGATGAACGTTGCCTTGTCTGATGAGTCTTGATTTCTGCTGTGACATTCAGATGGTTGGGTCAGAATTTGGCGTCAACAACATGAAATCATGGATCCAACCTGCCTCGGATAAACAGTTCAGACTGCTGGCGGTGAGTGTAATGGTGTGGGGAGTATTTTCTTGGCACAGTTTGGGCACATTAGTACCATTTGAGCATCATGTCAATGCCACAACCTGCCTGAGTATTGTTGATGACCATGTCCATCCCTTTATGACCACAGTGTACACTTCTTCTGATGGCTACTTCCAGCAGGATAACACGCCATGTCATAAAGCATGAATTATCTCAGACTGGTTTCTTGAACATGACAGTTAGTTATTGTACTCAAAAGGCCTCAACAGTCACCAGGCCTAAATCCAATAGAGCACCTTTGGGATGTGGTGGAATGAAAGATTTGCATCATGGATGTGTATGTGCATGTGATGCTATTATGTCAATATGGACCACAATCTCTGAGGAATACTTCACTTAAGAATAGGAAGGATTGAGGCAGTTCTAAAGGCAAAAGTGTGTCCAACCCGGTACTAGTAAGGTGTTCCTAATAAAGTGGCCAGTGAGTGTCTGTTTTGTAAATACTGTACAAGTTTTAATACTGATGTAGTTCCAATAAATTAATGCAGTTCATTATACATATAGTGAAAGCAGTATAAAAATTATTATCAGATTAATAAACAAGAGAATAACATTTCGTATTTGGCAAATGTATTTTTATAAAACTACTTAAATTTTGGCCAAAAAATAAGCTCAACAGAAAACACTATTATTTAGGCATCTGATTATTTAATTTACCTAAAAAATGTGTTATAACATAAAAATAGTGATTTATTTTTATGAAATGACAGTAATAACAATTATATATTGTCACATACAGTTGAAGTCAGAATTATTAACCCCCCTATCCCCCCCCCAATTTCTGTTTAACAGATTTTTTCAGCACATTTCTAAACATAATAGCTTTAATAACTCATCTCTAATAACTGATTTATTTTATTTTTGCCATGATGACAGTAAAGAATATTTGACTAGATATTTTTCAAGACACTTCTATACAGCTTAAAGTGACACCACGGCGACTGAAGCCCTGCACAAGACTTTTGGCCAGCGGAGAAATTAAAATGGTCGTGCCCAACTGAGTCTGGTTCTCTCAAGGTTTTTTTTCTTCACTCCCATCAGGTGAAGTTTTTTTTCCCTCTCCGCGGTCGCCACTCGCATGGTTCAGGATTGGTAGAGCTACGCATCGATGAATTTGCTCTTCAGTGTTTGAACTCTCAGTATTGATTAAATCACACTGAACTGAGCTAAACTGAACTGAACTGAACTTAAACACTAAAAAAATGAACTACACTGTTTCAGTTACTGAACCACACTGTTCCAGTTACTATGACCATTTATGTGAAGCTGCTTTGACACAATCTACATTGTAAAAGCGCTATACAAATAAAGCTGAATTGAATTGAATTTAAAGGCTTAACCAGGTTAATCAGGGTAACTGGGCAGGTTAGGGTAATTAGGCCAGTTATTGTATAATGATGGTTTCTTCTGTAGACTATGAAAAAAAGCAGTTTAAATGGGCTAATAATTTTGTCCTTAAAATAGTTTTTTAAAAATGTGAAAAAATAAGACTTTCTCCAGAAGAAAAAATATTATCAAGACATACTGTGAAAATTTCCTCGCTCTGTTAAACATCATTTGGGAAATATTTAAAAAAAGAAAAAAAAATTCAAAGAGGGGCTAATTCTGACTTCAACTGTATATAATATGTATATATATATATATGCATAAATACGCATAAATCATAAATACTCTGAGATGATAGTAGTGCTGCTGTGTTGTGTGTGTACCTGTGGTGATGTCGTGGTCGATTCCCTCAACAGAAACAGAGGCGTTTGAGATGGGGTTTCCCTGCAGATCACGAACGAATCCTGACACTCCTCTGTGAACCTGTGAAGGACATCAGGGATCAAACCGGATCAAAATCAAGCAGCCCGTCTAATCCTGACTCCTGAGTCTGAGCTTCACAGTACACAAAACATCTTCCTGTCAGCATTTTCAAGCACACACTCAACTCTTACTGCAACTGTACCTGCTCTATGTAGTTGACCAGTGAGTTGCGGTTCTGGTCCCAGTACTGTTTAAGTGAGTCCTCGGGTGGAAACTTGTCACAGCTGAGCTCCAGAGTGATCTCAAAACAATTACTGCTCAGATAGTTGAAGTCCTGCATACCTGACAGATGAAGAAAGAGAAAGAGAGAGATTGAGGATTGGTAACTCATCAACTCACATGTCCTCCATGATTAAAGATATAGTGTGCTGTGCTCTACTAAAATTGATACCCTTGGTGAAGACGAGCAAAAGATGGCTGCAACAAAAAATATTCTTTAACTTTTAAACATTTGCACATCTTTTGTTTTTGAATATCCTGTCAAACGGTTTGTTTTAATGCCTGTGATGTCAGATTGCAGTTTTGGAGACCTTCCAACCCACAGACCCAACAAACCTCTGCAGTCCTCCTAATATAGCTAGAATCATCTCAATAGTAATTCACACAAAAACACAATGTACACTGTAAAATGCTGAGTTCCACACTTACGATTTGTGTTGAGACAACATAAAGGAATTAAGTTTACTTATTATATGTTTCCAATTTAAATAAACTGAACATTAAACAATTAAGTTTCACAAATGTTTATATTTCGCAAATACAAAACACCAATTAGCAATGTATAACTGTGTACAAAAAGTTTTGATTGTGCACTCTTGTGCACCACACCTAACAGTCTACTTATAATCTAATGAGAATTAGTTGGCATGTAGATGCAATGTAACTTATATTCAACATAAGGAACATCAAAATAAAGTGTGAGCTCAATTTCTTACACAGACCAATTGATTTGCTTCATAAGACCTCAGTGTATCATCAGAAGCCATGCGGATTGATTTGGATTTGTATGTGTGTGTTTATTTTAATCTCGAAAATGGGTCACCATTGACTTGCATTATAAGAATCACCATGGACCACAGATCATGATAAATAAATCTTCTTTAATCAAGAAAAGTCATCATATTATGTCCTGAGGGTGAGCATACTAATCTCAATTTGGATAAATTTTCCCTTTAACTTTTATTTCTGTGAAATGAAACAGGAAGTAAGGGTTGAAGCCTGTTCTTGATCACCAGGTGTTATATTATTATAAATGATATGCTTAAATTAATTCATAAAGATGTTTTGTTTTGTTTTATTATTATTATTTGGGTGACATGGCGGCTCAGTGGTTAGCAGTGTCACCTCACAGCAAGAAAGTCACTGGTTCAAGTCCCGTCTGGATGAGTTTGCAATTCTGTGTGTTGTTTGCATGTTCTCGTCGTGTTGGCGTGGGTTTCCTCTGGGTGCTCCGGTTTCCCCCACAGTCCAAACACATGCACTATAGGTCAGCTGAATAAACTGTATTAGTGTATGGATTTTTTCCAGTACTGGGTTGCAGCTGGAAGGGCATCCGCTGTGTAAAACATATGCTGGATAAGTTGGTGGTTCATTCCGCTGAGGTGACCCCTGATGAATAAAGGAACTAAGCCGAAAGAAAATGAATGAATGAATTATTATCATTGTTACAAAACCGTTGTTGGTAATTATTCTCGATCAGAGCAGAATGTTTAGCTTCTGAGTAAAAGCTTATACAATATACACATGTTTCACTCATATTAATTCAAAGGCGCCAATATTAGTGGAGGAAACTGTGTGGACAACTCAACACACACTCATATAGGCTTCCTGCACATTTGATTTCAAATCCATCTGCATTAATCCCCCTTTCGCTGCTATAAGAGCTTCCAGGAAAGCGTTCGGCTGAATGTCGGAGTGTGGCTGTGGGGATTTGAGGTCAGGAATTCATACATGCAGATGCTGTTCAGATTTATCCCAGCAATGTTCAGGCCCTCCCCACAATTCTCTACATGCTTTCCACAAATGAATTCCCCATTTTCATCACATTTTTAAGCCTTACCGATTCCCAATTGACTAAACAACGCTAGAAATACCGTGTGTAACTGGGTGATGTGCTAATGTAAGATCCACCTTTATTGTTTCTCTTCACCATAAACAGAATTCTCAATCCATTTACATTCATTTATTTAGCTTTTATCAAAAAGCAATTAAAAATGAGATACATCTAGGCTCTTGATGAATGCCTAGATATGTTTTAATTTAGATGTTTCACCTGAATATGCGCAGTTGTAGGATTTAGTCAGCCAACAATGTTTTTGGTGTTTATTTGTTGAGGCTTTTGTGGACACATTTGTGGACAAATTTAAGTGTAAAATGTAAGTGTTTTAGAGAGTAAAGTGTTTTTAAAGTGTATCACTTTTATAAGGAGTTTAAGCACAGTTGCGTTACAACAGTGTGGGAATTTAACCAGAGTCGAATGGTAAAAATGCTTTAATTTTATTAATTATTGTCTGCAGAAACACTTTGATTGACATTCTCACTTTGTTCATGTACTAAGAGGGGGAAACCCCGAACATTAGTAATGATCTCTTTCTCATTAGCATTGGGCGTTAGACTTGTTTTTGAATCAGCCACTATGCTATGCATTTGTAGCTCTGCCCTCTTTTAGAAACAGCACAATTTCACTTGAATTTAAAACGACCAAAAGTCACCAAAATAAAACGAAATTGAATCAATACTTAAAAGGGGCAGTTTCAAAGTGTCATAAAACATAATTTGTGGGATATTTTGAGCTGAAACTTTACATACACGCTTTAGGGACATTAGAGACTTTTTTACGTCTTGTGAAAAGGGGCAGAATAGATCCCTGTTAAGTCAAAAGATCAAACTAAAACCTTTGGTTTAAGGTGGTTTCCCAAATTGGCGCAATAGGCTTTTTTGTACATTCATTCATTCAGCATTGAATCTCAAATTAATTTTTGTATTTCAACATATGTTCAGTTTAAATGTGATTAATTAAATATGCAAACATTCACACACCTGTTAGTCAAATAACAATTGTAGCTTTCAGAATAATTTCTTGTACTTTCGTTAGATTTTCGATAGCTTGTACTAAGATTTTAGTTTTTTAGATAGCTATTTCATAAAATTAGATTACATATCAAATCTCTTTTTTCTCTTCATAATAAATCTTTTTTTCCCTTTAACAAAAGCAAAAGCAGAATAAAGAATATAGAGGGGGTTTCACTTGAATTTACAGTAGTTTCAAAGTATACATCATATCCTAACAAAGAAGTAAGTCACTTTGTGTGTCAGCATCAGTGGTTGCTCAATATTTATGCCACAGATTTGCTGTCATGCACTGCAAAAAATTTTTGTCTTGTTTCTAGTCCAAATATCTAAAATTTCTTAAATTAAGAATAATTTTTAGACAAGCAAAACATAGAGTTTTTCCTAAAAACAAGCAAACTAATCTGCCAATGGTGCAAGCAAAATATTCTTATGTCAAAAGGAAAAACAAGATTATTTTGCTTGCCCCATTGGCAGACTATTTAACTTGTTTTAAGGAAAAACTCACTTATTATAGGTGTATTATTTCTGAAAACAAGACAAAATGTTTTGCTTGCCTAGAAAATGCTTTTTGATAAAAGAATTTTTAGATATTTGAACTAGAAACAAGACAAAAAATCTAAGTAAGAAAAGCTTTTGCAGTTTGCAGTGTACACACTTGGTTCACTAACACTGCTGGGATTTATCCATTTTAGGTATTAAACTTGGTACCGAGTTACAAGACATTTTTCGATACTCGATTGTATAGGGCGAACTTGGTCTGTGCCTAAAAAGTATCCAACTTGATACCAACCCCTTACTATTCAAGATTCTGCTTAATTTATAGGTCACTGATCAACCTAAAATGACTTCCGCTGAGGACAATATAATCTATAAATATATAGATGTACAGCAGATGAAGCTGTGTTCTGTACCTCCAGGCACACTGTACCAGGCTCCTCCATTAGTGATGCCCTCTTTGAAGCTGGAGTCATCATCATTCTTGCGGCAAGGTGGCCGGTTTGTGTCAGACATCACTGGGTTATAGATGGAGTAAGCCTTAGCCAAAGACTTGAAGACCAGATCATCTGGACTAGCGCTGTATTCATGAGTAGAGCCTGACGGACAAACAGAAAGAAAACACTTTTTATTCTATCTTTACATGGAGGATAAGAACTTGTGAAAATGTTCATTTATGGGTCAAACGAAGTTTAATGATTCAAAAAGGTGTTTAACAGAGTTTCAGGGTAAATATTACCTACATAATCATTAATTATCATTAATAATAATAATTTAAAGATGAATTAAATAAAATAATTACAAAATTTTGTATCATTCGAAATGTAAATTGTATTTTAGATTTTAATTTTGTTCAAAAATTTTTTTATAGTTACAAATATTATGTTATGCCATATTATATTATATTATATTATATTATATTATGTTATATTATATTATATTATATTATATTATATTATATTATATTATATTACATTTATTATATATTTCTCACCACTGCGTGTCTCATCATATGGGTAGTTTGCCACCACATCTCCACCATGCAGATTGGCTGACAGGACAAAAGGAATGTCCATAATCCAGTGAATAACAGCTTTAGTTTCTGGAGCCAGCTGAAACAAACACACACAGGTCAAAAAACTCATTTTTACAGGGCCAAAACCGACTCTGATGCTTAAGATGTGTAACAGCATGTGTAATGCCATGCAAGCTGCAGTATCTGACAAACATCTGAGGTGTCTCACCTTGGTGTTTTCATCCACAGCTTTCTTCATGTTCTTCAGGAGGTGGTTGTTTGCTCCTCCTTCTCTCTCGTTCATGTAGACAATGCGGTCGAGGTCTGGAAAGTTGCGGTTCAGGTCAATCCCCTGAGCGTTGCTGCGGCCCACAAACCAGTCCTTCATCTCACCAGGCTGCACATATTTATTGTGAAAAATGTTTTATTACCAGAATAATCATAATATTTAAAAAATTATAAATAAATAAACATTTTTGCATCATTTCCATGACACACTAGTGTGGGCAATATATTCATTCATTAATTTATATATTCATTCATTCATTCATTCGTTCGTTCATTCATTCATTCATTCATTCATTCATTCATTCATTCATTTATTCATTCATTCATTCATTCATTCATTCATTCATTTATTTATTCATTCATTCATTCATTCATTCATCCATTTATATATTCATTCATTCATTCATTATTCATTCATTCATCCATTTATATATTCATTCATTCATTCATTCATTCATTATTCATTCGTTCATTCATTCATTCATTCATTCATTCATTCATTCATTCATTCATTCATTAATTATTCATTCGTTCATATATTCATTCATTCATATATTTATTCATATATTCATTCATTCATTAATTCATATATTAATTCATTTATATATTCATATATTCATTCATATATTAATTTATTAATTCATTCATTCATATATTAATTCATTTATATATTCATATATTCATTCATATATTAATTTATTCATTCATTCATATATTTATTCATATATTTATTCATTATTCATTCATTCATATATTTATTCATTCATTCATATATTTATTTATATATTCATTCATTCATATATTCATTCATTCATATATTTATTCATTCATTCATTCATTTATTCATTTTTCTTTGGCTTAGTCTATATTTCAGAGGTCGCCACAGTAGAATAAACCACCTACTATTCCAGCATTTGTTTTATGTTCATTTATATTAATAATGATAATATCTCAAATTGTTCTGTGCAATAAATCATTACAGTGTGTAATAGTTTTACAAAGGTAAACTTTACTGACATACTTTTACTTTAAATTCACTTTATAACACCAGCAGAGTGTTTGAAATAACTCATTATTGTGACCAGACATGATTCAATAGCACAGAATGAAGATATTGTACTGAAAAGTACAATTCAAAACTCCAAATCAATGAAGTATGAACACAGTTCAAATACAGTACTATAAAGTTCAAAAGCAGAGAGACAATACAGTGAAATGTTATATAATGGATTGCACTAGTGTTATTATGTATTGCAGATGTAGATGAATTTCTGTAGTTACACTTCTGAAAGGTGCAATACGATATATTGTGGTATACTTTAGCAATACATCTTAAGTATTAAAACCTCATTTGAAAACCAATGTCCACTGAGCAGGAAAATTAGTAGTTATACTGCAGTTGTATTGTAGAAGTACTTCAGTTGTATTTCCATAGCGGTGTGGCAGTTGTACTGTAATAGTACTTCAGTTGTATTGCAGTAGTTGTAATTCAATATAGTAGTAGTATCACTACTATCGCTGTAGAGCTACTTCATTTGTAGCCTACTGTAGTACTACTTTAGTTGTATTGCATTAGATGTACTGCAGTTGGTTGTATTGAAGTATTTCAGTTGTATTGCAGTAATACTGCAATATACTTAAATAATGCAGTTTTTTTTTCGTGTCCAAAAAACTGCACTTTTTAAGTTAACTAAAACTGCCGTCATTTTTCGTAAGGGGAAATCATGCTATTTTATAGTATTCCATACAGTGATAAAGGCTAGGTCAATTAGCACATGACATCTCGAAAAACACAAATAATCCAGATATTGCCACAAACGTTTGTTTCATGTCTTCAGGTTAGAACCATCTGTCCATTTTTATCTTCATTATCCTCTTTGCTGACCAGCTGAACATAACTGATGTATTTTCTTCAGTAACTTAAATGTGGAGATTGTGAGAGTCTAGTGTCCAGTATGAATAAAACAGAAATAACTTGAACCTCTCTGCCCCTCTATGTTATTCTCAATAGGAACTGTAGCAAGTCTTATCACAAACAGGCTGTGTGTATTTATGCTTTTTGTGTTTTTTTTTTTTTTTTTTTGCACAAAAATAACTACATGGCCTTCATGTATTCTTTTTTTTAAATCAACATCACTCGCAAAAGCTAAAAAAAATGATATCTGTTATCTGCTATCTGACCTCATGTATTTAAATGACTTCATTTTCACTCAAGTGCCCCTCTGCATTGTTCTGGAAAGGAACTGTGTGATCACAATCTTGCTACATTTTTTTTTAAGTAGTGTAACTGATTATTTATTACATACTGTATATAGCTTTCAATAAAGGGCTGTGATAAAAAAAATGGTAACACTAAAATAGTGGTCCATTATGTAATTTTAGTTAATGTATAAAATGAAATAACTTTATATAAGTTAAATAACTGGCGCAGTGGGTAGCACAATTGCCTCACACCACAAAGGTCGCTGTTTCAAGCTCTGGCTGGGTCAGTTGGCATTTCTGTGTGGAGTTTGCATGTTCTCCTTGTGTTTGTGTGGGTTTCCTCCAGGTGCTCCTGTTTCCCCCACAGTCTAAAGACATGCGATACAGATGGACTGGGTAAGCTAAATTGTCCGTAGTGTATGTGTGTAAATGTAAGAAAGTGTGGGTGTTTCCCAGTGATGGGTTGCACCTGAAAGGACATTCACTGCGTAAAAACATATGCTGGATGAGTTGGCGACTCATTCCACTGTGCCAACCCCAGATTAATAAAGGCACTAAGCCGGAAAAAAAATAAAATAAAATAAATGAACATTGGAGCCTGAGAAAAATGCTAACTTCAGATAAGTTCAGATGGAACTTGGTTTTTGCATCTGACCTAGGTGATATGATACTGCCTGCTAAAAATTCTACTTCTAAAAAAATGCTAATTCTGTGGTGACAACACAATGCAGGATTTTAGCTTTTATTTTATCACTCACTGACAGTTTACTGGATCATATAAGTTTCTTACAGGTTGAGAAGTCCTGCCTAATGCATGATCTCGTGTTATTTCCTGTGTCACTTCTGCATGTGTTTGATTGTGCAGCACAATTTGTAAACCGGGCAGAGAGGTCTGAAATCTGATGTATTGTCTGACTGTGACCTTCCAGACTGACAAAGAAAAAGAACCAGAAACCCCTCTAAAACCAGCCAACAGACAAACCTGACCTGTAAGAGAGAGCAGCAAACCATCAAAACCAGTCAGTTTTTTGACAGGCCAGACAAAACACAGATTAAACATAGGCAGACTGAGAGGATTGAGACTGAAGAGTTACTCGTTGTTTTGCAGACACTACAGGAAATGCCAGAGTGAGTTTGGCTGAAAGGGGAAACTTGAACACAACCATTACAACCGTTTGAGCGTACAAATAAAACCTGTATCAACGACTTAAAGAGATATTTCACCAGGTGGCTCCAAGCTTCTCTTTTTTGTTAAAAACAAAAAAAGACATTTTGAAAAATGGTGGAAGCTGTCAGTCACTATCCATGTTTCCACCCACGTATTTTTATGTGCGCATAAATAAATGCTTAATGGAAATGATAAGAAAAATGCACATTAACTAAGAAGGAAAGTTGAAAACACATTTACCAAATAAACACCAGCAAGCGCATCAAAAAAATCCTGTGATTTTTTTTTTTTTTTTTGGTGTTTAACAAGACAATACATCATAGTATACAATACAACATAGGAAAAATTACAGATTGTCTTATTTTTCTTATTTTCCCACTATCCCCTCAAAATAAAATAAATAAAATGTATGAATTATAAACAAACAAATCCTTTGAAAGAAAAGTAAAATAATAATAATAATAATAATATATATTTTTATTATATATATATATATATATATATATATATATATATATATATATATATATATATATATATATATATATATATAATAAAAATGAAAAGAAATTCCTAAAAAATAATAATAAATGAGCAAGTTTACAATAAGAAAATATAATAAAAAACAATAAAAAAAAACATTTGAAAAGTTTACATTACGGAGTCAATATTTCCTCTTTCCAATTGATTACAGATCTGATATCAACTGAACAGGGTAAACCTTTATTATGGTCTAAAACAGGGTTCCAGGTCTTGTAAAAAGATTAATTCATTAATTTTCTTGTTGGCTTAGTCCCTTTATCAATCCGGGGTCACCACAGCGGAATGAACCGCCAACTTATCCAGCAAGTTTTTACGCAGCAGTTTTTACTTCCAGCCTCAAGCCATCTCTGGGAAACATCCACACACACATTCACACACACACTCATACACTACGGACAATTTACCCTACCCAATTCACCTGTACCGCATGTCTTTGGACTATAGGGGGAAACCGGAGCACCCAGAGGAAACCTATGCGAAGGCAGGGAGAACATACAAACTCCACACAGAAACGCCAACTGAGCCGAGGTTCAAACCAGCGACCTTCTTGCTGTGAAACGACAGCACTACCTACTGCGCCACTGCCTCATCCCTCTTGTAAAAAGATTTGAGAAATCATGTGATTTTTTTTTAACAGGAGCACATAGCCAATTTACACAGCATTGATGGGTGTGATGGGATGGAAAATAATTGACAAACCAGCTAACTGACCATATTGCACATCTGTAATGATCATTCTAAAATGCCTGAGATAAAGTCTGTCATCAAAGTGGTTCAGTATTATTATTATTATTACATTAAAGACACCTGTTGAAACTCTACACACACATACACAGCTACAGACAGACAATCACTGCCTCCTCCCGCATCCCACGCCTTTGTTTGCTTATCCCCCCTGATGTGGGTAGGTGTGTCTGTGACCAGCACTCTCTAGCGGCAGGACCAGATTGCTGTTTTTTTTAAATCTCCACATCCCCTAATCCCATCCCCTGTAGGGATGTTATGTTTATGTGTTTGTTGCTGGGGTTTTTTTCCTCCTGATCTCACACTGCCCTACTTCAAGGATAGTCTAAAAGGTTTTTTTTTTGCCTCCCTCTTCCCTAATGTATCTTATTTCCTCTTTCTAATGGCTACCTCTTGTCTGATCTATCTTCCCCTGAAATGTGTGATGTTTGTGTATTGTCGTAGGGGTCCAATTTCGCTACATGTTAAAGTGTATGTGACAAATAAAGTCATCATCCTCATCATGATCATCATCATTATTATCATCGTCATCATTTTTACCTCCAGAACTGTCTTGAGCGTCTGTAGACCTTCTCACACCTCCAAAGGCCAGTTATGACTGCCTTCATCATGTTTCGTTTCTATCTTTCAGGCACAAGTAATTTAATATATAAGCAAAAGGATCACAATGACTTCTTGGCTTTTAAAAATTTGGCACTAGTTTAACAGGAAGTGATGATTTTGTTCTCTTTGACTCAATAAGGCTGATTTATAATTCTGCAGTAGCGCAAGCTCTGTGATTGGTCGGCTTGGTAGCGCTGACGAGTCTGGGCGGGACCGAGAGCCGCGCGAATGGCGCGAGCCCAATGGAGCGATTGTTTACAAGTGTGGAGTCCCGTGAAGGAGCTCCGGATGGAAAGTTTTGTTTTGTGTTTACCTCATAGTTAAAGTTGTTGCACGTCCGCCGGTTCCTGCCTCAAAATGAGCAAGTTTGAGCCACTTGTACATCCAAGAAGTGTTCAGGAAAAGCAAAACAGCAGCAAAGAATCTCGACACAGAGGAAAATTTACACCTCACTGCCAACTAGCGTTTCGGAAGTGTAATGCAGACCAACAGAGACAGCGTGCAGAAGTATAAATGCACAGCTACGCGCGTTCTTGACGCAAAAGTATAAACCAGGCTTTTTATTAAAATAAATAAATTTACTTTGCATCTTTAGATGGAAATATAACTATTCGCTTCCACAGCAGGAAAAATATTATGGATGTCAAGATTTTTCAGCATCCTTTAAAATACTTTCTGTTGCAACACAGGCTCATTGGGACATTGTGCCCAGGGATACATTTTTGAAAACTGAGAAATATGTGCCCGGGGGTACATATGTCTGCATTTTGTTTGTTAAAATAATGCTACCAAGTGGAACCACTCACAGCTTACCTATGTATGGATGGCTTTTTCGGTGTGACTGGTTTGCTTGGTAGCTCACAATGTATTCCGTCGGATTTGTGACATGGAGAAAAAAAAACTAAAACTGCAAGCAGTCATTGTTCAGGGTACAAATTTCTTGGTTCTCAAAAATAGAGCCCTGGCCATGTATCTCTAGTGAGCCTGAGTTGTTCTTTTGTGTTCAACAGAAAAAAATGAGTAATTTTGTTTTCATCTATATCCTACTAAAATAATTTTTTTCACTATACATTTCTGATGCAAGAGTTGCACTCTTAGTTGCCATAACAGGATATATCTTGCACTTCTGAAACAATCACAAAGGCTCTCATTGTTGTTGTGCGGTTTGAGCAGACATATATTACAGCTGATGCAGTAAAGCAGTGTGGTAAACCACCTCCCAGAGAGGTGTTTAATAATCTCTTGGTTTCCCCTTAACAAATGTAAAACTAAAAGTCCAGGCATGTCTTGTATACAGTAAATATGTCAAACAAGCATTGAAATGTCAAGGCCCACACTTGTGTGAGTACAGGCTGCAGGAGGATGTGGTGAACCACTGTAATGTGTTATGAAATCAGCACTCCTGCATTCTGACAAAACAATGGTACGCTGAAAGATTACATGCTTACTGATACCAAAATGGGGTTGTTATGATGTTTTTATTTTAGTTTTTAAATAATTTATTAGTAATTTAATTATTTATTTATTATTAAAATTATTATTATTTTTAATTTATTTATTTAAAACATATTTTCTGAAATAAGTTTAGATTATAAAGTTAACAATAAATAAAAACTGCAGAAATAATAAATAATTCAGAAATAATAAGAAACAGGGTACTCGTTTGCTCATTCATTCATTCATTTTCCTTCGGCTTTGTAACCAGGGGATTGTGACACTGACAACAGAGGTGCAGATCCACATGCAGATTTATTAGAATGGTCAGGCAAGCAGTGGTCAATACAGAAGCAAACAGATGTATGAGGGCAATCCAGAGTCATAGTCAATTAACAGGCAGATGGTCACAAGGCAGGGAGCAAACAGGATGAAACAAATAAACGAGGCAAAGGATCAAAACACAGCAAACAAAGAAAACGCGTTGTAGAGTCACTATAGCAGATAACAAGACTCAGCCACAGTGAGTGTTTCTGTGCTGTTTATGTAGTGCAGTAATCAGTCCAGAAGCAGCATCAGCTGTGGGAGTCTAATCAGTGGAGACTTGGAGCAGGTGTGTGTGTGTGTGTGTGTGTGTATGTGGCATGACTGAATATGTAGTCCATTTACAAGCAGATTTGTAGTCCTATGTGTGTGTGAATGTTTTCCAGCGATCTCTACTGGTTAGATTGCTGGTGATCATGACAGGCTTAGTCTCTTTCAGAGGTCACCACAGCGGAATGAACTACCAACTATTCCAGGCCAGCATATGTTTTACGCAGCAGATGCCTTTTCAGCTGCAACCCAGTGTTGGGAAACACCCTTTTACACTTATTCATACACACACACACACAGACACTATGGACAATTTAGTTTATCCGTTTCGCGTATATTGGATGTCTTTAAACTGTGGATGAAACCGGAGCATTTGGAGGAAACCCACGCGAATATGGGAGAACATGCAAACTCCACACAGAAATGCCAACTGGCCCAGCCAGGACTCAAACCGGCAACTTTCTTGCTGTGACACTTTATTCTAAGTAAAAATGACATGTAAAGGTATTTTGATTCAACTTTAAATGGTAATGGAGCAACATTTGCCGTTTTTAAAGTGTGATAAGTGCATTCTATGTGTATGTGTATGGTGTGTATGGGGTCAATTTTTTTTGTGTTACATCTATGGAAAGTCATTAAGAAATATGAAATCCCAACATTTGTGTGTGTTTACCTGTGAAGCTGCCTTCTCAAAGCCGTCGGGGTTCATGGAGGGCATGATGTGTATGCGTGTGGAGTGGATGAGGTCAATGATGGTGTCGTTGCCCTCCTGATATTCATTACAGAGATACTGAGCCAGATAGATGAGCAGTTCTCTGCCCACTGCCTCATTCCCGTGCATGTTTCCAATGTACTTAAACTCCGGCTCACCTGCACACAAACACAAAAAACACACGCACATTACATTAACGCACACATAAACTAGCAATTGATGCGTTGCTAGCTATTTTTAAGCTTCATCTTTTGGGAAAAATAGTACTATTTGAGCTAACATCTTAAACCAACGTCATATTGACGTCAAATATTGACATTTATTCATCAGGTAGGGGAACCAAAATCTAACGTCTGATAGATGTCATAGTGGTATGGTCCACACAACATCCAGCTGTAACATCATTAGACGTTGATATTTGGTTGATTTTAGGTTGTACATTGAACATTGATGTAGGCCTGATGTTGGAATCTGACATCAAAACTGATTTTCATTTCATTATCCCATGTCGTTGGGGTACAACAACAATCTGACGTGATATTAATGTCCAAGGGCTGCTGGGGTGTCAAAGACATATATAAATGCATACATTTGATTCATGGTGTATTTTATTGCAATGATTCGATTAAGTATGAACAGAGAAACAAAGAAACAGAGAAAGAAAAAATGAGTTAAACTAATTTATACATAATTCTGTATTATATTTAATGCAAATTGTAAATATATATATTTTTTTTAGTTTTGACAATAAAGTCTAGGCATATAAAATATATATCTTTCAAGTAAATTATACTTTTATCTTGTAAGTATTTTAAAAAATAAAATATAAAAAGGTCAATAAACAAGCAATACATTTAGTGTATAAGTTCCATCACATGTGCAAAATACTATATTCTCAAAATATACATAATATTATTATTTACTAATTGAATATTGCTGACATAATACATTAAAATTATATGTGACAAATTTTATAATATGTGGAAATTAAATATTAATAATGCCACTATCCATTATATAATACTATCTTGGAATTTTGAAATGTGTTTTTTGTTATTACTTTAAATAAAATATTTAAGACTAATTAAATTTACGAAAAAAATATGTTAATTAAAAAGATCAAACAAAATAAGAATACATGAAATATGTTCACAATCATATGGAAATTGTTAAAAGACTGCAAAGTACAAAGTTCAAGTGACGTTAAACAATGGATATACAGTTGAAGTCAGAATTATTAGACCCCCCTGTTTATTTTTTCGCCAATTACTGTTTGGCGGAAAAATAAATTATAGCTTAAAGGGGCTAATAATTTTGACCTTAAAAATGTTTTTAAATAAATTAAAAACTGATTTTATTCTAGCTGAAATAAAACAAGTAAGACTTTCTCCAGAATAAAAAACATTAGCAGACATACTGTGAAAATGTGCTTTCTCTGTTAAACATCATATGTGGATTATTAAAAAAATAAATAAATCAAAGGGGGCTAATATTTTTGACTTCAACTGTCTATACAGTACATTAACTGCACACAAACACACTCAAACATGTCTTATTCAACAATGAGTAAAATTGTTTAATTTAAATGGTTATGAATTATTACCCAAGGAGGTCAAACTAATTTAGTCAAACTAAAGTAAGTAGTTTTTATTTACTTTTGATTTTATATGAAATATTGTACAGCAGCCCCTTGTTTCCACACATGAGATATATTTTGTGTACTGTAATGGCCTTGATCTCCTCTTGTTTATAGAGAGTGCTGAGTGATTCTTATGGAGGTTATGGATTAACTGAGAATTACTGCTCCAAGAACACCTAGCCAGATGTCAAGATAACCACACACAAACACCATTAATCTGCATAACATCCATAATGGATGGACTGAACAGATGGAGAATTAATTAGAGAGAGCAAGCATGACTTTTCAGATGTTTTTAGATACACATGTCTGTTAATGTTTGTAAAGACAGTGCAGCTGCAATAATATTTGCATAAAGCTATAGTCTATATATTCATTCATTCATTTTCTTTTCAGCTTAATCCCCTTTATTAATCTGGGGTCGCCACAGTGGAATGAACCGCCAACTTCTCCAGCATATGCTTTACACAGTGAATGGCCTTCCAGCCGCAAGCCATCACTGGGAAACACCCATACCCCCTTATACCTAATCCTCAATTTTAGCATACCCAATTCACCTGAACAGCATGTCTTTAGACTGGGGGGGGGAAACTGGAGCACCCGAAGGAAACCCACGCGAAGACGGGAAGAACATGCAAACTCCACATAGAAATGCCAACTGACCCAGCCGAGGCTCTAACCAGTGACCTTCTTGCTGTGAGGCGAACGTGCTACCCACTGCGCCACCGTAACGCTATATATACAGTATATATCCTGATCTGGAGGTAACATGCGATTACAATCGAGTCTGAAACCACGTGATCAGGCCTGATTTCCGATCATCGGATCTGGACATCCCTACAATCAAATGCTTTCTACTATCTGACATCCCCCGTCCCCTTCAAGATGCTTCTCATTTGCTTTTCATTTGATGCTCTTAAGCTCAAACACTTTCACCAGCAGAGCTGTGATAAAACTCTAAAAAGGGGGAGGAGCTACTCTATGTCCCACCCTCTCTTTATGTTTCAGTTGAAATGACATCATACATCGAATACAAATGCACATTTCAAAGCACTTCATGGGACCTTTAAAATGAAAATCTCTGTTCTTGACTGGGCTGCATAGTGGCACAGTGGGTAGCACTTTCGCCTCACAGCAAGAAGGTCGCTGGTTCAAGCCTCGGATGATTGCGTTTGGAGTTTTTATGTTCTCCCCTTGTTCGCATGGTTTTTCCTCCGGGTGCTTCGGTTTCCCCAACAAGTACAAAGACATGCGGTACAGGTGAATTGGGTAGGCTAATGTATGTCTGTAGTGTATGAGTGTGAATGAGTGTGTATGGATGTTTCTCAGTGATGGGTTGCAGCTGGAAGGGCATCCGCTGCTTAAAACATATGCTTAATAAGTTGGTGGTTCATTCCGCTGTGGCGACCCCATATTAATAAAAGGTCTAAGTTAAAAAGAAAATGAATGAATGTTCTTGACTGAATTGTAAATACTGCTAAGGTCAATATTATTAGCCCTTTAGGGATTTATTTTTACTTGCCTAGTTAGACTAATGGAGTATATGCCCAGCTAGTGTTTTTCAGCCAATTGTAAACTTCCGGTGAATGCTTAATGTGACTGTTTTCAATTTCATAGGGTTTCTTTTACAGCATTGATGTTGTAATGTAATTACAATGCATTCAGTTATATACACTTAATCATTCATTTAGTTGTTCAAGCGTAAAACAAGATGAAAGACACAGAAACAGGATCACAGAAACAGGACCACAGAAACTCCATTGAAAATACTGGGGTAAAATAAACAATCATATTTTAAAGACATGGTGGGGGGAAATGGAATTTAATACAGTGCTTTTTGTCCAGTCTGAGACCCACTTTTTATGGTATATCTATCAGGCGGTGAAGATCACTGATTTTCAAAGATATCAGACCATAAACGTGGCAATTTTATAATGGAAAGACTGAATTTAAAAGTCTGTGTGCACATACTTCATTAACCTAGTTAAGCCTTAAATTGCACTTGAAGATGTACGTCATCATGACAAAGGCAAAAGAAATTAATTATTAGAAATTAGTTATTATAATAATATGTTTGAAAATGTGCACTTGGGATATATTTGAAAAAGAATTGCATTGTGTATATGTAAATAGAAGTTTTTAATGTTCAATATTTATGTCACTATGCTTAGTATAACAGTATCTTGGCATTAAAAATCTAGGTTTTGTAACAACCTGAAACAACCTAGCATTTTTTTAACATGTAGTGCATTTCTAAAACATACCAAATATACATTTGTCCAATGTTTTGTCTACCTGTCTCACAAAAAAAAAAAAAAAAAAAAAATATATATATATATTTTTTTTTTCAAACAATATTAAATTTAAAACTGCAACCCAATAAAAACATGCTCAGGTAATGTCCTTAGAGCTTTCCAGAATCCTCTCTGCTTCCACACAATGACCTGACCCATTTAAACCCTCCCTAACATATTTATGCGCAAACACCAGCACCAACACACACACACATCCCTCAGGTAACAAAAGCACAAATCTGTAGAGGCCAGGAAAGGACACTCAACATTTTCCACTGTTACTCTTAAAAACTCAAGCTTCTAAGAACAGCAGTACAAAATCACGCAAATAATCCCGCAATACTGACTACATGTTTTGATGTGACCATGTTTACCTGCAATTATGCACAATATATAAGCAGTTTATACAGGATGTGTGCTCTGAAAGAGATTGGTCAAACCAGTTTAGAAAATCCAACAAGAAAACAAAGGCTTACAGTACTGAATGCACATTTATTTGCCCTGCACACACAGATTGGAAGCAGATGGAAGCGCAGTTTTATTCAGCAGGGGTTCTTGCAGGCTCTGGCCTTTTTATAGCCGTCTATTTCATTGCCTCCCCTGAACATCTAAATATTCAACATCTCACAATCAAAGAGCTGCATGTGTGGACTATCCACAGTGGGTGTGTGTGTGTGTGTGTGTGTGTTCAACCTCTTAAATAAGGACGTGTGTCCATGTCACATTTACAAGCAGCCTTTGAAGCTGCAATTACTTCAAAATGAAATTACTGCCAAACTCTTTCACAGATGTTTAAGTCAAAGCAAAGTATTCCCAGGCCTGTCCACAGGAAATGTGCTTCTGAATGTGTGTGTGTGTGAGTGCGAGAGAATAAAAGAGAGAGAAAGAATGAGAAAATGAAGGTGTTTCTCTTTTGATTTTTTTTTTATTTGGATAGGATGTGCTATAAGAGGACAGCACGGTGGCTCAGTGGTTAGCACTGCCGTCTGACAGCAAGAAAGTCTCTGGTTCGATTTCCAGCTAAGCCAGTTGGCATTTCTGTTTGGAGTTTGCATGTTCTCCCCATGTTTGTGCTCTGGTTTCCTCCACAGCAAAGACATATGCATGTAGGTATGCAAGAGTTTCCCAGTACTGAGTTGTGGCTAGAGGGGCATCCGCTGCATGAAACATATGCTGGTATAGTTGATGGTTCATTCTGCTGTGGTGAACCTTGATAAATAAGGGA